GGACTAAACATTCCATGGAGGTCAAGTATCAAAACGCAGTATGTCCTTTGTTCCCAATAAATTAATTTGGTTTAATTTTATTCCCAAACATTCAATTTAAAACTCCTTATTCATGCGCGATGAAGTTAATTGTTCTGTGTAAGAATTGAAAAATCAAAAAACCGCGCTTTAAAAATGCAATTCATCAAGGATATCATTCCAATGCAACAAATAGGAAGAAGATTACCAATTCACCTCCAAAAACGCGTGGAGAAAGAACTGAAGAATTTGATAGACCAAAAACACATCAAAAACTTGACAATTATTCGGAGAAATATTTCTTTAATCCGATTGCAGTAACAAAAAAAGGACCAAACAGCAATTATCAAATTTCCAACCTTGCATTGCTACTCTCGACATTACTGCAGAATTCATTAAAACGAAAGAAAAACAACCGACACTTTTTTCAACACGAAAAAACAATGCAATTGTAGCCTAAATGGAGGCCCAGGAAACTACTGAAAACTTAATGTATGAAACAAAGAAGTTCAATTACTTGAAATCCAAAATTTACTCTTTTAGTTTACTTTGTTTTTAGCTTAGATCGACTGGCTTAAGGCCATACGAGAGTATTGCGAACTGAATGAACAAATGACCTATCTCATAACAGCGCCTATGACCTTGACAATAATTAGATCACAATACAGATAACATATTTACATAGCGCAAATGATGTGAATAATTGCAGCAGTAGTATAGACTATGTTTAAGCTCAAAGTTACTGCAACCGAAGTACTACACACTGACAAAGCTTCTAATTTCGCTGTTAGTTTCGTCTGGGATATTTGGGTTGGAGGTCAAGTATCAAATTGCAGTATGTCCTCTTTTCTCAATAAATTAATTGGGTTTGATTTTATTCCCAAACATTCAATTTAAAACTCCTAATTCATGCGCGATGAAGTTAATTTTTCTGTGCTTATAATCCACATAGGTTGTACGTACTCGTGCTGAACATGCACTTTGCGTGCTGCGCGTGTTGTATTTTTCACGCTTTTTTGTTTTATTGGTAGCTGATCTCTTTAGCTCCAACTTCATGACTGACTTCAGGTTCTTTGGTGGGACCTCAGATATTCTCATCACTTAGTACTCGAGTTCACTCTTTTTATTCTTTCCTACTCTTTTTCCGGCGTCCACCTTTAGAAAGGTTATCCCGGGTCCTCTGCAGCACATCTGGAGTCTGGTTAGGTTAGTTTTTACCCAGGCATATTTTTACCCAGCTTCGACACAGTGATACTGGGCTTGATATTTGCCTTCGGTTTGTTTTTTCTTCTCGTCCTCTAGCCCTGACTCCTAACTATTCAACCAATTTTTCAGTTGCAAGATTTTGCAAACTTGATATTTATTGTGCAATTCTTACATGACTCCTTTAGCTGGGTATTTTCTTCATGTTACAAAGAAAACAATGTTCTAGCACCTTATTGACTGGGATGATTAAACGCGAGGCACGTCAGTGGTTGAAAAAAAAAGTTGAAAAAGATTTCCGATAACTTGAAAACCAACCAAAACATTTTTGAAACTGATGTCGTAGGGTAGGTGAATTTTCATGAATCGACCACGAGCAATACACGGGTTGAACTAACATCAATTGCAATTTTTTTTTTGAAAAAAGGGAATTCTTTAATAATGAGAGGTATTGCGGATTTGCCGCTTAGATTAATTTGCCGATTCATTTGCCGATTTGCTGTTCTCAAATAATCAGGTCTTAGGCGTTGGTCCACTGCAATTGCAGGTTCAAGAAGCCCACTGTTTTTCCTAAACGAGAAAACAGCAAAAAGACTCCGACAACTGACAAATTGGCAAACTTTAAGTATATCCCGACGGAAGATGCTGCAAGAAAGTTGGCCTGCTACAATGGAAAACACATCTTCCCAAAAGGACGAATAATAATTTTGGTATAGTCAGTAGGGTGGACCATACAGTCTGCGCCATTCTTAATTGTAGATGTCAAAAAGCAAACATCATCGGACTAAACATTCCATGGAGGTCAAGTATCAAAATGCAGTATGTCCTTTTTTCCCAGTAAATTAATTTGGTTTAATTTTATTCCCAAACATTCAATTTTAAACTCCTAATTCATGCGCGATGAAGTAAATTGTCTTGTGCTTATAATCCACATAGGTTGTACGTACTGGCGCTGAACATGCACTTTGCGTGCTGCGCAGACTGTAATTTTCAGTCTTTTTGTCTTTTTGGTCGCTGAACTCATTAGCTCCAACTTCATGACTGACTTCAGTTACTTTGGTGGGACCTCAGATATTCTCATTACCTAGTACTCGAGTTCACTCTTTTTATTCTTTCCTATTCTTTTTCCGGCGTCCACCATTAGAAAGGTTATACCGGGTCCTCTGCAGCACATCTGGAGTCTGGCTAGGTTAGTTTTTACCCAGACATATTTTTACCCAGCTTCGATACAGTGATATTGGGCCTGATATTTGCCTTCTGTTTGTTTATTCTTCTCGTCCTCTAGCCCTGACTCCAAATTATTCAATCACTTTTTCTGTCGCAAAATTTTGCAAACTTGACATTTAAAATGCAGTTCTTACAAGACTCCTTTAGCTGGGTATTTTTCTTCATGTTACAAAGAAAACTATGTTCTAGCACCTTATTGACTGGGATGATTAAACACGAGGCACGTCAATGGTTGAAAAAAAAGTTGAAAAAGATTTCCGATAACATAAAAGCCAACCAAAACACTTTTGAAACTGATGTTGTAGGGTAGATGATTTTTCATGACTCGCCCACGAGCAATACACGGGTTGAACTAACATCAATTGCAGCATTTTTTTTTTGAAAAATGGGAATTCTTTAATAATGTGCCTTATTGCCGATTTGCCGCTTAGAATAATTTTCCGATTCATTTGCCGATTTGCTGTTCTCAAATAATCGGGTCTTAGGCGTTGGTCCACTACAATTGCAGGTTCAAGAAGCCCACTGTTTTTCCGAAACGAGAAAACAGCTAAAAACTCCAGACAACTGACTTATTGACAAACTTTAGGTATATCCCGCCGGAAGATGCTTTAAGTAAGTTGGCCTGCTATAAAGGAAAACACATCTTCCCGAAAGGACG